ACTGGAGGCGCGACACACTCAACAGAGACTTGTGGAGAGATCTGATCAATGCACAAGTTCAATCTAAACCTGTTCATCCGCAACTGAAACAGCTTGTTAAGAACTACAAAGATAAAGCGGATGAACGAAGAGCTATACAAACACAAATCAGTCAAGGAAATCCACCCAAGAAAGTCATTGAAGTTCTAGTTAAAAATATGAACGGCCTGTACACGTGTCCGAATTGCAACAGAGCCTTCAAACCACAAGGAATTACCGGACATGCACGAACGTGTGCAAAGAAGTGGTGTAAAAAGAACAATATCATTGGTTGTAAATAGTGATGAAATCCTCTTGATAGTTTGGCTTAAGAAATTAAATGACGAGTTCAACTCAAGCCAAGCAGTTGGAAGGTGATCTAAAAATGAAATCATCATATTTTTATCTTTTGTTGTGTTCCACTGCCTTCTGTTGGAACATCTAATAAATCTCAATATGACATAATTATTGCATAGACTACCAGTTAACAAATGAAAATAACAGTATTATAATGGAGAAGTGAGAAAAATTTAACGTAACATGAAATGCGGAAAAAGCTGTTTATATAGAACTGAAGGTCTCTTCATATTTGACATCTTTTCTGTTTCTTTTCCCCATTTCATTCATTATGTATTCTCTATATCTCATTGTTCTGTCGTTATTGTACCTGCGTATAATATATTCCATATATAATATATTTTTCCTAAGGCATTTCTAATTTTGACTAGCCTAATCCCAAAACAACACAAGTTAATTTATAATTCTATATCTCATAATGGACAATTTCTAGCTAAAATTTATAGTTTTTGCCTAGCGAAATCGCTTTGTTATTATTACTATAAAACGAGAATATGGCAATAATCAATAAACACTATTGTGCCTTTTAAATCCAGTCAGGAATAGAATTTTATCAAATACTTCATGGATTATTGTAGAGGGGGGGAAAATTTATAATAATCGCCAGCTATCATCATTGGGATTTGCTAAAATAAATGGAGAGATTTTGGTGTCTACTATATACTGAAACTAAACCAGGCATGCTCGGTTATCAGATATTTTCAAGAATAGAAGAGATTTTTATACGAAAAAAGGAGCACATATCTCAATAACTAGCTGAGTCAAAAACACCTTAACAGTAAAGATAAATTTCTCAGCTAATTAACAAATTGGCGTGGTCTTCGCTGCTATTGTACTGTTTATATTCAAATTTTTTTTCGACTATTATAGTTTTCGGTTTCAATATTATACACGTAGCTAGAGGTCTGCGAGACGGTCCCGGTCCCGCAGAACTTTTCACTCACGTCGCTGTGGCTGTAATTTTTCTTGGAGAACACATTTTGGCTACGCAAAGCGAACAAATATTCGAGCATATTGAGGTAGAGAGGGGTATGACAGGATCTTAAAAATATTATTTACAGATATCAGCTGGTAGACCATGACAAGTACAATCTAGTTATGTGCAACTCGATTAATTTTATGAACAGTGCGGAATGCAGAAATATTGCTCTTGCTTTCCCCAGTCTAAAAACATTGATTTCCTATACTAATGCGGCAAAACATACTAAAAATGTTTCCTTTCTTTGAGATCTATCGATTGGTATCGAACAAGTTAGAATTTGGTTACTATTTCATGAAGAAATCATAGATTTTATCTCGGGGAATATCTTCGTAGTACAATGCAATTTTCCCTAGAACTACAAAAATACGTTTGAGCTAACACTTTAGGAAGAAGCTCTAATCCACCAAAAGAAAAACGGTTGAAAAAAATCAAAGATTAGATATTAACGAAAATATAAGAAAGACAAAAACAAAACAAATTTCATGTGACATTTAGTGTAGAAATCATGCTTTTCTGAAAGTAATTGTCATTTTTTACGGAAACTACTAAAGCGATCTTTTTTCTATCAGTTTATTTTTGAAACTACGATGGCTACATGTGCGCCCCCACCAAAGTCTGACTGGTCGCGACAGCCCTGGTAAAAAGAGAAGATTAGACAAACGAAAAACATTGACAAGCTTATTCAAAAAAAGTTATTGCACTTTTACATGTTGAATTTCAATACTACAATGGCATTGAAAACTAATCATTTGTCTTGTGTTCAAAATGTTGATAGCAGCTATCATAAAGAGAAGCTACTACTTACAATGAACAAAACTTATAACCAGAGGTGGTCCGAGTGGGGTGAGGTCCGGCGGTACGTCCTCCCCCCAATAATTGAAAAATTCATCATCATGCCAATTGCTTATTCAGATAGCCCGATAATTCGTCTTAGTTTTTCATGTATCTGGCAATTCGTTTCAGAACTTCTCGTCGCAGAAAATTAGTCTCAGACAGTCATATTATTAGTAGTATATAATTAGTCATAGAAAGACATGAACCTAACACCAAAAACGCAGTGTATTGAAAATTCGATGAACGAATAAAGTGTTTGGTAATGAATTATGATTTAATTCAGTTGATGCTTTTTCATCTGGAATAGCAGCAAATTTATCATTAGCCACATAGTACTTTTGATGATTCTTATTTTTAACTATTGCTTGTGTAGAACACCGCGTTTATGAAATGGAGGGAATATTCTCTCTACATTTTTGTGTAATGTGACGAATTTTCTGCGACAAACAGTTCTGAAACGAATTATCGGATACATGAAAGACTAAAACGAATTTTCATCGAAACGAAAAGACTGAGATGAGTTGTTATAGCACCACTTATTCATATGGAACATGACATACATAAAGAATTTCATACTAGATCTAAATGAAAAATTAATGATTCTCGTCCAGTGATGGAGGTCTCGAACCAACTCTGCTAATAACCACTTTGTATCTTCTATACGAAAATCTGTTGAACTTTGATTAGTAACTATCGGTATATAATCTAGAAATTAGTTCATTTTTATGACGAAGAAAATACGAAGAGATGAAAAATCAGCCGCTAAACAGATCTAACATTGTATACATGTCATTTGTGAGACACTCAAACGTGAATAATATAAATTAATTGAACCTAATTGGCAGCATCTGCTTATCGACTTCTGCTTATCAAACAGACAAATTCACATTACTAGCAATATAATAGAATCAATCTCGCTTGATTAATTCTCATATAGTAGATAGAGGGAGAAAAGAAAAATAAACATTGATAAACGCTGATAAAAAATATTTTTGACCAATCAAAACCAGTTCCGATATATACAGTTTGATAAAATGTAATACTTTTCATTTCATCATAAAATAATCGTTCTAACAACTATATATCACTTTATTTTCGATGGAGAACAACTTTTCAACGTATTATGATTTATCAGCGGATACAAAATACTTTACAATTAACAATTGCAGTAATGATTACAAAATATCGTCTAATCAGCTAATAGAACCTGATTATTCAGTGCAAGAAGATTCTGGTGATCTGGTAATTTCTTCCTTTCGAAACATGATCCACTCGACTGCTGCAACTTATTTGGATCAACTGACGGCAACAACAACAATAACAACTACAACTGCACCAACCGTTCGTGAAAGAAATCGTATGCATGCTCTAAATGAAGCCTTTGACGAATTACGAAAAGTTGTTCCAAAATCAAATTTAAACGATCATCAACGTTTATCAAAAATTGCCACATTAAGATTAGCCATTCATTATATAAGTGCATTAACATCAATTTTACAAAGTAGTGGATCGTTAAAAGCTATTGATCGTACACTCATACCTCAGATATCAAAACGACGGCGAAGACGACGAACAAAAAAAGACACTGATGATTTTATTACTAGATAATTTTAAAGGAATTATTAAAGTAAACAATTATTTATGATAAATCATATTTAATTAACTGACTATATATTTTAATTCGTTTTTACATTTATGTTATTAGTGTTAAAGTAACAGCTTCATTCTGAAATATTATCAGCCAAAAGATCTATATGGTGGTCCAGTGTTGGAAATCTTTGGTAATTGGGTTTTTTTATCTATTCAAAAACTATTAGAAAAATTGCTCAAAAAATAAATTGCTTAACTTTATAGTCATTTAGGTATACGATGTATTATTTATAAATAGTATACCTAACTGAATATAGAATTGAGTTGTAGATACAAGTTGATCTATTAGAACATTCAAAATCTGTAGTTTGAATATTCTAATAGATCAACTTGTAAGGAGACAAAATGGAGAAATGCATCACCTTCTCAACATAGACAAGCATATTTTTTGACTCATCACAATGACACTACTCGTCAATTACAAATGATTTATACATTAAATGTAAAGATGTAAAAACTCCTTAGTTACATGTAACCAAATGTATAAATCAAATCGATTTTATAATTTCTCAGAAGTTCACATTACAAGATTTACCCGAGGATTAATGCTTTTGATTAATGTTGCTAATTAGTAACACCAATCAGAGATCGACAATCTCAATTAAATCTTGTAGTGTAGTGTGAACATGGCTGAATTCAGATACTTCTGTAATTGACGAATCAAATTAATTCTTCTCTAAGGAGGCAAAGTAATTCCGTCATGAACTACGTTCATTGTCTTCACCTATTCATAAATCTATGATACCATTTATGGACGACTCGATTCCATCTTATTTTATACATACGTGAACTCGAACAGCTGTTTTTCTTCCATTTACTTAGTGAAAAATTCTCTTATATAACTTCTTTTCGTTCTCGTAACTATGACAAAAATGTTTCATTGAAAGTTACATCTGTGATCTAAAACAGTGCTGTCTTGTACGGGATAAAAAATATGTGCTCATTCTGTGTGTGTGTATTTGCTTTTATTTCAAGTGTTCCCACCAGAAGTGACTTACAGACAGGTGAACGTACATGTAACAACAGAGAGAAAAAATAGTAATAGTACAGAAAACTTAATAGTTAATTAAACACATGACACAGCACGTAGACATAGTTGATCATAGGGGAGGAATGAGAAAGCGAACCTTCGTTGTTCAGATTTAAGATTGAATTCAATTCACATGGGATATCGTATTTTCAGTTTTTTTATTACCGGTTTTTCACCCGGCTGTAAATTAAGGAAAATGTCTGTCTGTCCATCCGTTCGTCAGAAGATGTACAAGACAAAAAAAAATTCTTTCATCAACAGCAATTCTCTTGATATCAGGATAGGTTGATATAGGAAGGTGTTTACACTTAACCCAGAAAATTTATATTCGTAAGATTTTCAAAGGGTCTTCGGAAGAATCTTAGGTTTAATAATCGTAGCATGTGCTAGAGCTGCACAGCATAATAAATTTTTTTTCTATAAAAAAATTTCTTGCAGCACAGGATAGAGAAAAAAATCTTCTCTCCTGTGCATATCCTCTGGCTGAGCAAGACAGGCATATTTTTGTAAATTTTGTAAAATTGTCTCTTACACAGGTACACAAGTTTCCAGACATACCAAACAAATTCTCTCAGAGATGCAAAATTTTTAATGTAAGAAAAACACCCATGTCTATAATTTCCACGAGCGATAAAGGTAAAAATTTTGCATCTCTGAGAGAACTTGTTTGGTATGTCAGGAAACTTGTGTACCTGTGTAATTTGACTTGCTACAAACTGGTTATATCAGAATCTCTTCGTTCAGCTATCCGGGGTGCATCTCCAGAGACCTGGTTGCTGGGAATCCATACTAGAAAGTCATATGGGCCGAAATGAATATCAGATTCGTAATCAGCATGAAAAATAACCCATGAAAAAGTATGTTTTGATTAAATCGAGATGAATCACTTCGAACGGTTCTCTCGTTAGTTGCCATCACGTACATAAATCACGTAGTTGCATTCAAGGGACAGGGAATTGCAATGCGACTCTTGTTAGACATAAAGTCATTTTGGTACCTAGCCAAGACATCTCTGGCACGAGAAATGGAGAGATATTTTCAGAAAAGTGTCCTATCTACATTGTCGCTTTCGGACATCGGGATGCCCTGCTTTATGCATCAGAAATGCACCTGATTTACATGGGAGAATGCATCTAAAGTATCTTGACTAAACATCCACGATATCTCACGAAGACACTATGGGTGCATAAAATTAGAATCCAGGCGCCTTCGTAAGGCATCATGACGCGTCTTTTACATGGAAATATCTTCTTATTGACCAAAAATGAGGGTGCCTACATTTACTTTTAAAAAATGCACCTCTTTTTCCAGTGTACTGACGAAAATCTGTCCTGTAGACAGGCATTTTTTCATATGTTTTTTCTTGAGTATTTCTTTTTCTGTCAAGTATTAACACTTGCTTAAATGTGTTATGTTTTATTTCATCCTTCTTAAAATATCTACGACATTTTTTCACTTTTCATATCACAAATAATACCATAAAACGATAGGCACGAGAGAAAAAGTTATAGAGAGATTGAAAGAAAATAAAAAATGTTTTAGCATTCAGCTTTATTTCTCCAATTTGCGCGAAAACAATCGTAATTGGGCTCCTGAGGGGAACCCCCTCAGGAATTCGATGTTTTCTTCGAAACTGAAGAACCATACGATTCAGTGTCCCAAGTGTTTTCTTTCAGAATCCATCTCAATTTGACAAAAATTCAGTGTTTTCGGAGGTTTTTGAAAAGATTCTGAAAGCTCTATAAAATCACCCTTTTCTAACTTTCACATTTTAATTAAAATTTTTAAGGTTATCCGTTTTAACAGACATAGAGGTATATTGAGCAGAGCGTTCTGATCAGAATGAGATGTCCAGCAGGTTTGTACGACTTCGTCTTGCAGAGTTATACTAGTTTTTCTAAAGGCGCTGAACTATAATTAATGAATTGATGACGTCATTGCTTCAAGGGGGAAAGCACGGAATCCTAGAATCCTGAATTCTCCTGGATTCCAAGGATTCTCTATGATTCTATAGGATTCCAAGGATTCGCTTGGAATCCATAAGATTCTCTTGGATCCCGTGGAACTTTTCCCCCAAACAGAACAAAACGTTCTGTTTTGGGAGAAAGTTTCTCAAAAATAGAACACTTTTGTTCTATTTCGGGAGAAGTGTGGAATCCCGGATTCCATCGGAGTTCACCGGATTCTACTAGATTTCATAGAATTTCAGGATTCCGTGCTTCCCCCCTTGTATTGCTTAGACTATGATTTTGACGCAGCAAAGTTCTGTTAACTCCTAGAGGATTTATCGTAAAACCTTCATTCTTTTTTTATTTTGAAGCTAAGACATTTATCTAAAGTTTGATCCGCATCGATTTTTTATTTTTATTTTCTGTGCAGAGATAGATGGCAAATACTCTGCCGAATTAGGGTTATGTTCATAGGTTTGACTTAAAATACCTGTAGGGAATGAACGGAAGCGAAATTCAAAAACCGCCGCGAATCAAATTTTAGATTTAGGTATCTACTTTCATTTCAGGCTACTCGCAGCTTTCTGCACCTTCCAACAATAAACCCTTTACGTTTCTGCTAAGAGCCCCGCCCCATTTTGCCCTTGTCACGCAATAGCTCGACAGCACTTCAGCGTTTCCATCTCGAATTCTCAGCATAAGCTAGCTGGACAGTAAGCATTAGTCACTGAAAGCGCCACTGAAATCGGATGTAAGATAAAAATCCCTTAATTAGTTATCGGCAGTCATTTTGTGCCTTTTACACGTTTTTTCTGTTGGCAATTATTTTTTAATTTTAAGTTATTATCCCCTTTATACGTAGAATTGCATTACTGAAACATTAGTGAATTACTATTCTTACTAAAACGCAGATACTTTAAACTTTTTACCTGCAGAAAGCGCAGGTAATGTTTCGACTTCAGTTAACTGTCGAGAAACGCAGGTGAACAATGTTTTTCTCATTGCAAACTGCAACTTGCTCAACTAAATTGCAAATTTCAGTCCATTTCCAATGCAGATGATCAGCTCTAACTCGTACTATTATTTTGACTAGAGCAGTGAGCGCGTAAGGTCATTTTTTCAAGAGAGAGGGAGATTTTTTAATACTTCTTAGTCTTCGCACGACTATAATATTTTGCACACATGATGTCAAGTTCACATTTTTATTATTGTCCATAAGCGTTTTATAGAATTCACATTGAGTTATTTTCACATTCATTGAATAATTAGATACATCGACGAACAGAAAAGAAAAAGTAATTTAACATGTAGATGCGTACACCTTTTTCATAACGGTGAAAGTTATGTGACGGAGGTAGTAAGTATTAACACAGCATGACGTAAAATTTTAAACAGTTTCGTAACGTTCAACTTGACCCGAAAGTAAGCGACTAGGACATTTTAAAATAGTGTATCCATTTATATTAAGGGTGTCTTGCTCAAATCTGTATAATAACAGATTCATCGTTTATTCTGTCCAGTCCCAGCATTAACGGGCCACCAGTAGGGCAATGGAGGGGTAAGTGGCTCTTCCGGAAGAAAATATCAAGGAAAATAAGCAGTTATTGCCCTATGAAGAATTATATTTTGCAGCAGCGTATCTGTACGAAGTTCTTCTATTCTCACCAAGCGCTACTTAACGCCAAAAAGTAGACTCAAAATCGATTGACTGGTCAGTTCGGGCGGTTCCCTCATCAGCAATTTCTGTAAAATAAAATTGCCGCCGCTTTCTGATTGTCTGTGGGAAAAACTGTCTAGAAAAATATGCATAGAGATCATCAATCATTATTACCTTTGATCAAAAAGTTCATTAGCGTTCCACTAAATTCTAGATGAAGAATGGTATAATAGCGATACGTCATAGTGCCAGGATCCCATGAGGATGACTGATTATTGTCAAGAGGCAATTGCGTCTTTGCATGTGTCTGTTTTGGCGTCAG